GATTCTTAGTTTAATTCGTGATCATTTTTCGAAATTAATGGCGAGTTTGATTCCGATTGCCTGTCTTTTTTTGCATTTGTATACAAAATTGACTGCGAATCCGAGGGCGAGTTTGAAGGCGATTCTGTATCCTCGTTTGCATTCCAATCCATTTACGAAAACGATGTAAATAACGAGGGTGATGACGGCTCGGTATCATTGCTTAACATATCTTCTCCCTTTTTTCGGACCGCCTCGGCCGCCGGTGTCTGTCTGCGGTTCCCTCGGCCTAGGCCCTTGTAAGCCTGGCAGTCCGCATGCTCGACGCTCTCGCTTGACAACACGCAATGATGCTGCTTTCAGTTCGATTCGCTGACTGCCTTCTTTTGGATACAGTTTTGCTCTCTTGCTTTGTGTTGCCGTTTGCCCGCGTCTCGTGTCTATGGCACATCTTCCCTCCCCCCGGCAATGGCCAATCAATCCCATTTCGATCGATTTCTCTCTGTAGCGATTATGAATCACACACCCAGCACAGGTTGGATGTGTCCCATACATGTCGATTTCGGGTGTCTGGTGATGGAACAGCTTTCCAATTGGCCTGTTCACGCCCTGAGGTAGCCAATTTTCCGTGTTTGCATGTGCGTGTGTGTTCTTGTGGGCTGGTGCGTGTGAGTGTAGGTGTGTCTCTTATTTATGTGTCAATCCGAGGCTGCATTCTATTGGACGGTTGGTAAATATGCAGTTGTCGACATCGGATTTCCTTCGTTCGTGCATTCTGTCCTACGACTGGGTGTCACTCGTTTCAGGTGAGCCATCTTCCACTTTAATGACATCTCCGTTTCGCTTTATTTCATCGCCATCTTGATTTTGGCTACTTTTATATGAGATGCATTCACCCTATCTCGTTTCAAGTGATCAAAGAATGGTGGTTTAATGTTCCCATGACTCTATTTCTAAACGAAAAATAAGTAATTTACTCGGTCGATAGAACAAATATCACTTTGCGAAGAAAAGTTGGGTGTCAGGTAATCTCTTGCCTCATAATTGTTGAGTTTGCTTGCATGTCGAGGAGAAGTGTGCGGTGAAGAGATTCCAAGGTCGGTCGGTTCCACCAGAAGACCAGCTGTCGATTGGCTTTACGGCAAGATTCATGCTGACGCTGTTTTCGAGGCAATCTGCTTCGATTCCGGCGAAAAGGTGCTAAGCTTTCGTGCATCAAATGACTAACATCATCAGAGCAAGGTTTCATCGTCACAACCAAATTGAAGCTAACGAGTCAAGAAAACTCACCGGCAAATGTCTAAAAAGTGGTATATACACTCTAAATCTGTCCTCTTTGATCAAGTATCAAGTGATTTGGTTAGTTACGGTCATATGTCACCTGTGTGTATGTGTATGTGCCTGTTTGTGCTCGCGTATGCCCGAAACCCGCAGCGATGACTTAAAGTAATTAGTACAGCAAAAAGGAACGTCTGTTTCTGGCCAGCAAGGTTTGATGAGCCCCATCTCCCCCTTTCTACAAACATGTTAAAACCATCACTCTTCTTTGTCTTCTGGTGGAAGCGACCTTCGAATCTCTTCACCCAACACTTTCACTCGAAATGGAAGAAAGCTCAACAGAGAGCAGATGTGAATTTCAAGGAAGTCCAAGCTCTTTGCCATATCACACTCTTTGGGGGGATTGTCGATGAAGCAAACGTATATA